TAAACTAAATAAAGCTAATTGGTACCTTTTTTGTAAAGTTTCTAATTTTTCAAAAATGTAGCTTTCATCAATTAAACTCTTTTCATAGGATCTATTAATAATAAATTAGAATTCTCAAAGTTCATCCAAGAACTACTATAATTAAATATTGCTTGTGATGGGACCTTCACACGGCTAAGTATATGAGTATAACAACGTTTCCATTTTCAAAGCAAATGACAAAACTATAAAATTTATATTATTAGAAATTATTCATTTAATATACTTAAAATATATACAATTAAAAATAAGTATGGACAATAGAAACTCACTATCATCAGTCGATTTCCACTGACCATAAGAACGATAGTCATCACTATCACCACTATAACAATTACAAACTATTATATCATCATAATTGCTGAATTACCAGCGCGAAAATGCCATTGTAATTGTTTGTAGATTTCCAACCTAAGTGATTATTTCTACCAATTATTTTGTTTGAGTCCAAGACCTTAATTAACCAAAGAATTGCGCAATTACAATTGTTATCAATAAATTTATTATACTCAAAACTATCGGGTGTTGCTCGGTAAGTAAGTGTAAATTGATAAAGTTTCTACAAAAATAGTTCATTTTTCAATCCAATTAGATATTACTGCAATTTTATCGCTTCAATTATAACAGAATCAATACTAATAGATAACAACGTGGTGGCAGCTTTGAAACTTCAAGATTTACATTAGTTATCAGATAAGCTACTAATTTTTATAAAGATTTTCTATTATAGCTTTTTTATAAGGCCTAAAATGGTAATAAAATTCACTTCTAGACATTTTATGAAATTGTGTGGTATAAATGGGTCTAGAGATTTCTTAAATGATGCAAAATCATCCACTTTTCAATTAGAAGCATCTACCTTTAAGGATTCTTCATTAGAAGCAACAAATTGAGCTGTTTCCATTTAGTTAAATATTTACAAATATCATTTTCTTCAATATCAAGATAATCTCTCTTAAGTTCTAAAAAGTTATTTTTATCCAAAGGCAGAAATTCTTTTAACTCAAAGAACAGTTTTGGATCTTTGCAGATAATTTTCATGATATATTCATGGACATCTTTGCAATTTTGGATATTGAAACCTTTATAAAAGTGGTGATAACATTTTCTCGCAATCAGGATGATTCTTTATCGCCAAGTTAAATTATTTTATGCTTTAATTTATTACTTATTTATGAAATAAGAAATTTAATATCTTTGATGGCAAATAAACAGTATCCATGATTTCGATATGATTAGTCAATTTATCAAGAATTAATCCGTTGCATGCGCTATAAGATCAAGAATAGTAAAACATGATTGATCTGATAGGTTAAGAGTTCCTGCATGGGTATACCTTTAAAAATTAAAAAATACGAAGTAATAATGCAAGGATTTAAAAAAAGGTTTAATTAATATTAATTTTGATATACCGAAATACCAATAAATTACATCTGGGAAGATATTTGGTTTTTTTTAAAGGTGTTGATACCGCTTAGATTGTTTACCATTCACTAGGTAAAGCAGTTTTTGAAATAGGATGACCTAGTGCGCAAAATATTTGAATGTACGTTAAATTCTTTGAAATTTGATTGTTATCCAACTTGAATAATGATATCGCAATATATCGGCTGATTTCGATAAGGAAATCCAGCAACGCACCTCATTAGACATATGAAAGTATATATAATTGACGCATCCTAACCTGCTAACCTGGGGAGATTGGATTTCCTTATCAAAAACAGCCGATATGATCATCTGATTCATCTAAAATTTGAGAAAAATCTTTTGACAGATATTCAAAAAGTTTTATAACGAGCATGAATATTAAATGGAAATTAGGATTGAATAAAAATTTTGTGAGAAATTCTGTCAATTTTGCCACATTTTTCTATATTTCATATTGATCACCATCATATACATGACTTGACCTATCCTTGCATCAATAAGAATACGACCAAATGGAACTTGATTAGTTAAATTAAGATTTTTATTGTCAAAACAATGTATTGTAATTCAAAGCGTATTTATTTTATTTTTTCTTAGATCATAAATAGTATGTTCATAAATAGCATTAGTTTCCTTAAATGAAAAATTTAAAAAGAATCAAAGATTCAAATTTTTCGGGAATACGAGCTTTCGTTTTAATTAACATGCTGTATTATTTTACAGCAGCATGTACTGTATGTAAAAATGTAAAAGATTTTAATATTTAAAAAAAAATTTTTTATACAATCACATCTGGGTTATATCATTTTTTTGCTCTATGTTTTTAATATTATAGAAAACTAAATTCTAGTCAGTAAAATGGCAAACATTTTAAAATCAAAATCTAAATTCATAAAATATGAATATTCTATTATAATTGAAAAACATACATCTAAGCTTGAATAAAAAACCGCATAGCTATATTACAATTCCAATTCTCAATTTACCGGGCAATTAACGTTAACTGTGTGCAAATTACTAGTATGATTTTGCACATACGATGTCATGTGAAATTATTCTGTAGATTTACAAATTTTTAACTTGTATTTAGCTTTTTATCCGACAAACTCTTATGATCATAAATAAATTTCTGCACGTTATTTTTTTCATATGATACGATGTAATCGTTTATTCAAATTAAAACTCAGTCAACCACTCCCTACCAATCATGATCATAAACTGCCGGATAATGTATACGTATTGCTGCTAAACGAACGTAAAAGTTGTCTATCTGAGAATCGGAATACGTATTAAATATAATTATCAGAAAAACACATTTGCATTACAAGATTCTAACTTTTTCGGGACATAATTTAGATAAAACATGTGCTGTACATTACTTTTAGGGCTTGAGCTGGCCTAGCTCGGCTTAAGACCCAAGCCAAGCCAGCTCAACAAGCCAGTTTAAGCCGGCTCAAGCAAGCCGACTTATACAAATTACGTAATATATTAATAGTTACGTATTTTAGTGGATAACAACCCAGAAAAAAATGTTAGCCGAAATATTTTGCCAGCTTACATGTGATTTCGGATGCTGATTGCCGGATAAATTATGAATTCAATGAATACAGTAACTTTCATTTTTTTTAGCTATAGCGAATAAATAAATAAAAATTAAAATAATGTGATTTTAAACAGTTTATCATAAATTCATAGAATCTTTTACGCACTACAAAGTAGCATCCTTTTGATACACCAATTACAAGTTAAATTAACATAGATAACAAATCTATGAATTCACGAATTTTAATGCATTGGTTAAAAGATCATACATAATTAAGTTAATGCAATTAAAAAAATATAATTTATTTTAAATACTAAAGTTTGTATTTACTCGCTAAATTAGCAAGAATAAATAAGAAGCAGAATCGCGAACTTAAAGAGCTTATTTAAGTTATCGATCAAGATTTTTATACTTAACCGAATTAACGTTAATAAAACAAAATCATATACGTATATTGTCTAGAATCAATTCTGAGAACTGACTAGCCGTTTCCTTATAACAATATTCAGCTTAAATATATTATCCAGTTCTGAATTTCTGAATTTTTATTTCACTAATTCCCGACCAAAATGCTCGTGTTTTAAGTTCATTGAGAATAATTTTTCGACATTGTACAAACGGCTTAGTCTTAATCTTTCTACTTAACAACAGGAACTAAGCAAAATGATATGAGCATCACTATGTAATGATAGTTATTTATAAAGAACAATAAATTAATGCGAACAAGTATATACTCATTCAATTAGCTAGATTAATGCAAATCAAATAAGTAAATGCTCACCAACCTGAATAACTAATTTTAATTACTGCGCTTTTCAAATTACTGTGTCCGCTGATTCTCATACACCACACCGGAAATCAGAAATCTAGAATAAATGCAAATCTGTGATTGGTTAAAAATAATTTTTAGCCAATTACGTATTGGCATTTTTTCTAGATTTCTGATTCCCAGTGTGATGTATGAAAATCAGTGGACACAGCAATTTGAAAAGCGCAATAATTAAAAAGTTCTTTTACACTCACCATCAAATTTAACACGAATAATAAGAGGTACTGAATAAAACTACTTACAATTTAGCGATGTAACTAATAATCATGTTTGGTCCGGGTTATTATATTTTATTGTTTAACCGAGTTGTTTTGTTTGTAAAAATATGACGCACTTTATTTTGTGAATTCGATACAGTAAATATTCTCGAAATCAAAGCGAAAATAAAACGAAAGTCAAAACGAAAGTCAAAACGAAAGTCATAACGAAAGCCAAACCGAAAGTCAAACCGAAAGTCAAAACAAAAGTCAAACGAAAGTCAAAGTGAAAGTCAAAGTGAAAATCAAAGTTAAAGTCAAAATGAAAGTCAAAGTGAAAATAAAGTCAAAGTCAAAGTGAAAGTCAAAGTCAAGCCGAAAGTCAAAGCGAAAATCAAAACGAAATATTTTTAAGCATGATAAACACAACTTTACCGGCAATCAGCTTTCAAAATAGATATAAGCCAGCAAAAAACCCGGCTACCATTTTTTTGGGCGACGCTATGTAAGCTAGTAATAGCACGGTATGTCATATGATTTGACTCAAGCCGGTTCTGTCAGCACAGCCAAAAGCCACGGCTAAGCCGGCTCACTATAAGCCCTATCAGTATCCTTAATCTCTCACTTTTGAAAATCTATCTCATCCTATCCATTGCACTGTCAAGTACTGTACAGTGGTGATAAGACTATAGTTAATTAGGATTAGTTTGTAGAAATGTTAATGAATTCGAAGAAATTGCTCTAAATTACATAAAAGATATCGATATAATTAAAAACGTTCATAGTAAAAATCATAGTGGTGGTACTAGTGGTGATAATACTTGGTATTATAGAGTTGCTTTCATTCTTGGTTGGTGAATATAAGTTAAGGCAAAGGATTTCTTTAAATACAACGAATTAACTAATACTGGTGATGACGCTCTATGGGTCACAAAAGATTTCAATAAAAAGAAATTTTATCAGTATGCAATATTATGGTGTTGATCTTAAAATTGATAAATTCGATGATATTGAAGAAGTTCAATATCTTGGTAGCAAGGTATTTCGTAACACTTATAAACGTAATCCTAAATAAGGAAACTTTATAATGGCTTTTTTGCTCGCATTCACCAAAATTACCTAAAAGCATCCATGCCTCATAGAAAAGAAAATATTATATTACCACCCGCTCCACCATTACTTGTATACCATGATCTTTCACAAACTCTATTACGCCAAAGTGCATACCGTTGGTACCAAGCAAGTTAGCAAAAACCTAAAATAAGATCTGAACTGTGAGAAACACATAAGGATGGTACTTATAAACATTTTGACGAAATTTATACCGTACCTTCCTTACAAGAACAATTATGCAACTGACAGGGCATGATCTATTGACAGCATGGTTGCCAGAAGTATACAATAGGTTTGCAAGGTACTACATCAAAGAAGTAAATAGATTAGCTAAACATTGCCGAATATCAAGAGATTTTAGAAAAGACTTAATCGAAATTAAGAATTCAGCTGACCTCATTTATTCCAAAACCTTGACTTGGCTCGAGTAAATTATAACTTTAAAGAATTAAAAGTTAAAATTCCAGCTGGCATCGAAAAGAAATCCGTAATGATAACCGGCTTAATAAACCTCTAGTTCTCAGATCCAAAAATTCTGCATTCTTTTCATTTTTACGAGCTCATATGTTCCCCTCATTTTATCAAGTTCAAACTGTGCAAGTGCAACTCCGGGATGAAGATAAGGACAAGTATTCTAAATTTTACGAAACATATTTAGATGCTAAAACTATTTGAAAGAAGCTCCAAACAAATTTTTAGATTAAGTTATAAGCAATTCCAAGAAAATTATTCAAGATGCAACCTAATCTAATTACCAAATTTCCTGACTCACATTTTACACATATCATCACTGGACAGAATGTTTCATTTATTTTGAAAATGAATCAAAGATATCATTTGATTCATTTCAATCTCTAATTAATCAAAGTCCCGTTGCACCAATTTGTGATGGTCCTGCATTTTGGTATAATATAAATAAAAATCCATATTATTATAAAGAAAAAGTTAAGATCATATATAATGAAGATGGCTCGATTCAGTTAAATCCATACCAAAATGCCATGGCCATGTACACCACATTATATATGCTAATGTATTTCTGGAAAGATATATTATTACTTTACCAGTTATTGGATGGTTGTGGACGTTCACCATCCTATTGTTAATAGATATACCAACTTACCTTTATGGTACAACAACGCTCGATCATCACTTATCATATGAGTGCCGTCAAAGGAAAACCTACAATCTGGCTTTCAATTATATTTTGTGTACAGTTGGCCATCTATCGACAA